TCCTGCCCATGACTTGGAATTAGCAGACCATAGTGTTTGCTTTAAAAATTTGGAGACATTATTTATATGGATCTAAATTTGATGTATATAGTGATCATAAGAGTTTAAAATATTTATTTGATCAAAAAGAGTTGAATATGAGACAAAGAAGGTGGATGGAATTTATAAAAGATTATGATTTCAGTTATTTTATCATCCAGGAAAAGCGAATGTAGTAGTTGATGCCTTAAGTACGAAAATTGTTCATGTTTCAACTATGATGATTAAAGAGATGGAATTGATAGAACAATTTAGAGATTTAAATTTATACACTATTAGCGAAAATGATAGAATACAATTAGGAATGATTTCTATTAATAATGAGTTCTTATATAAAATAAGAGACAAATAAGGAGATGATGAGTTTATATTAGAAAAGAGAAAATTAATAGGGACCGATAAAGTCTGGAGATTTTAATCTAGGAATGGATGATATATTAAGATTTAAACATAGAGTATGTGTGCCAGATAATAAAGAAATTAAGGACTTAATTTTAGAAGAAGGACACAAAAGTAAATTAAGTATACATCCTGGAGTTACTAAAATGTATAAGGATTTGAAAGAAATGTTTTGGTGGCCTGGAATGAAGAAGGACGTAGCACAATATGTTGCCCGTTGCTTAACATGTCGAGAAAATTAAAATAGAACATCAAAAACCCTCCGGCATGTTACAACCATTAGAAATTCCAGTTTGGAAATGGGATAGTGTATCCATGGATTTTGTGATGGGTTTACCCAAAACTTCTAGAAATTTCAATTCTATTTGGGTGATTGTGGATAGATTAACAAAAGCTGCTCATTTCATTCCCATTAATATAAAGTACTCTTTAGATAAATTAGCATTATTATATATCAAAGAAATTGTTAGACTACATGGTGTACCAAGTAGTATAGTTTCGAGATAGAGATCCCAGATTTGTATCTAGATTTTGGAAAGAATTCCAAAAAGCTTTAGGAAGTAAATTGCATCTCGGTTCGACCTATCATCCTCAAACTGATGGGCGGACTGAAAGAAGCATCCAGTCATTAGAAGATCTTTTAAGGGCTTGTGTATTAGAAGAAAAATCTAGTTGGGATGAAATTTTACCCTTAGTAGAATTTACATATAATAATAGTTATCACTCTAGTATAGGTATGGCCCCTTATGAAGCACTTTATGGGCGTAAGTGTAGGACACCTTTAGTTTGGTATCAGGATGGTGAAAATTTATTAATAGGACCAGATATAATCCAACAAACAACGAATAAGGTAAAAATAATTCAAGATAAGATGAGAACTGCTCAAAGTCGACAGAAAAGTTATGCTGATAGGAGAAGGAAACCTTTAGAATTTCAAGAAGGAGATCATGTATTTTTGAAAGTTACACCTATTACGGGAATTGGCAGAGCTATTAAATCTAAGAAACTTTCCCCTAAATATATTGGGCCTTATCAAATTACAAAACGGGTTGGAAATGTTGCATACCAGATAGCCTTACCACCTTTTCTCTCAAATCTTCATGATGTATTCCATGTGTCACAATTGAGAAAGTACATTTCAGATCCAACACATGTCCTAGAACTTGATCAAGTACAGGTGAAGGAAAACCTCACCTTTGAACCAAGTCCTGTTAAGATTGAACAAAGAAGGATTAAGCATCTAAGAGGAAAAGATATTCCACTGGTTAAGGTTATCTGGGATGATGTTAGAGGCGACGCTACATGGGAACTGGAAGAGAAAATGAGAATTGAATACCCTTATCTATTCACATAGAATGTATTACAAATTTCGAGGACGAAATTTTATTTAGTAGGGGAGAATTGTAATATCCTAAATTTTGCAATCAATTATATAAATAAATTTTGTAAGTTATAAATATGTACAGAATATTATGTAGAGTTATTATAAAAATAAAACATGATTTTTATAGTAATTTTGTCTTAAGAAAATTATAAAATAAAATCCAAGGTTAATATTGTGTCAAATAATAATTTAATAATAATTCTTAATAATAAAATTAAATAAATGAATAAATAAATATTAAGAAAAAAAATCACGAAAAGAGAGAAATGGTATTCAGGGGACCAGTAGTTTTAGATCAAGTCAATAAAACCTTTGAATTAAGTCGGTGAAATAAGGCGGTGGAGAATAAAATTAAATAAAATTCGAGAAGGACTATAAGTCGGTAAAATAAGTGTATAAATAGGAAGAAATTTGAAAATTTACTTACACAGAAACATACAATTCTCGTCACTTACAAATCCAACAGAGAGGCACCAGAATTCTGAGAAGAAGAATTCGAGAGAAAGGAGGAAAGGGGAGCATAAGAAATTAAGAGAATAATAAGATTTTGAAGGAGTCAGGTATGGGTTAGACGTTTAGTTTTACTCATACGAATGTCTGTAATTGGAGATTACTATTCATCAATTGCAAAGTTTGAAATATTGTTGAAATTCTTTCAATTAAGGATGAATTATATAATAAAATTGTTGTTTTTAACTTAAATTGAACATGTTTATGGTTTAATTTTGATTTGGAACTAATTTGAGTGATTGAAACCGAGAAATTTGAAACCTGGATTTCGAAAATGGCGAACTGGATGAAAATCTGCAAAATTCGCTCAAGCGAAAAATATATCGCTTGAGCGAGGACACCTGGAAAATTTGGGATTCTCGGGTTCTTTATCGCTCAAGCGAAAATTACATCGCTTGAGCGACTAAGGATCATGTCTCACTCAAGCGACCTGTGTACTCGCTTGAGCGACGAAAGCTTCAAACAAAGGGGACTCTCGGGTCATGCCTCGCTCAAGCGACCGATGTACTCGCTTGAGCGACGAAGCCTTCAAACAAAGGGGACTCTCGGGTTCCATCTCGCTCAAGTGACCAGTGTACTCGCTTGAGCGAGCGAAGGAAGAAGAAAGGACTAGGTGGGAATTTTTGCAAAAGATCAAGGGTAAAATAGTCATTTCACATATTAGGGACATAAATGGAATTTTGAAAAAGGTTAAGGGTATAATCGAGATAAAGTCAAACAGTATATTACCCCCTCTTTGTTTACTAGGAAAACGACTCAATAAACGTTAGAATTTGAGGATAATGCCTTCATCAAAGTTATAGATTATTATCTTATCTTTCCAACACAATTGGAATCATCTTAAAATGAGGTCTAGAACTCAAGATATGGACAAAATACTGAACCCTATGAAATAAATTATTAATAAAAATTGTCTTGCTTAAAACAACTATGAATTGTAATTAAAATTTTGAATATATGAAGGAGATGTTTTTAAGTACTTAATTGATGATAGATTGTTTTGTTTCATACGAGACATAAACATAGTGTATGAAATGTTTTACGGAAGTCACAGAAAAGTTTTTTTAAAGAAAAGTATTTGGAAATTTCTCTTAAGTAGCTACCAAGGACGAGTTGGTAGTAATAATGATGTGCAAACCATAATTTTAAAAATATTTACGTGAGTCAATTTACTATCAAGAGCATCTCGGTAGTGGAATATGACTATGAAAATGGTTGGCCAAATGAGACAGAGAATGAATTATTAAGAATTGAGCTACCAGAATCTCTGATAGTAAATGGGGGAGTAGAATAGGTAAGACAGGACCTCTATTCTATGGGGATGGACCTCTGGTCTAGGGAATGTTTGGGCATGGGCAATTCCATAAGTGGCCAGTCTTTATTTGATTCTGTGCCGTGGTAGCCTGCCGGGTGCACTGACACTCTGACTACTGTCTACTTGTTCGCATTTAATGGGATATTGCCGAATCATCGAACAGGGTGATGTTAAGCTCTGGTTCCACTAAACACTCAAATGAGTCTCCATGGAGCACTGAGTCAAAAATAATTTTTTTTTTAGTCAAAAGCATGATTTTAAAGTTTTACGTTTGGAGTCACATGTGCATATCATAAACATATTGCATGATAAAATTGTAGATTATTCATGATTTGTACGATATTCTCTATTATGATTCCATGATTTATTTAATTGTTTCTCATAATTAATTTTTAAATTAAATTATATATGGTTGATTTTATCGTATAAATATTTGCTTTATTTGTTGTGGATAAAATTAAATGTCTAACCCCATAAATATTTCAATTCCAGATGTTGGTGACGTATGATGCAGGAATACATAATTCAAGAGATAGATGTCGGATGCAAAAATCCAGAGCTTAGGTTAAGAATTGTATAATATATAAATATAACTTTATGACTTGTAATATTTTGAAAACTTTGTTATAGAACTTGTTGCTTGATTTAATATAAAACTTTACTTAAATAAATTGTTCACTTGGTATATTTTCTATTAACCTTTTATGAATATTGAAAATATTACTAACTTAAATAATAAATTAGGATTAATAAATGTAATCAGTAAGGGTTACATCTTACATTAATAATATATATTATCAAATATTTAGTCAAATCAAAGGTAAATTTTCAATTTTTATTAGAAAATTATACGAGTGTATTTTTTCTTTTTTCAAACGAATGGGTATTTAAAACAGAGTAATCTACCACATCTTTACTTCTTTTTTCTTTCTCTGTTTCATTTTTCCCAGTCTTCTGAGTGTTTAATGAAGAGACATAAAAAAGGAAATGGCACACACTACGTGTAATTTCAGCCAACAAATTAAAAATAAATAGGCAAGCGGAGATATTTATATGATAAAATTTATATTTTAAATGTATTAACAATTAATATCTTTAATATATTCTTTTATGTTAAGAAATAAAACATTTAAAATATTAAACTGAATATTAAAAGATTATCCCTAACAATTTGATAACAATAAATTTTGCTAAAATAAATATAATATTATACTAAAAATAAAAAAAATAGTTGAATGAATTTTATTATTTATAAAATAAAATTTATACTTTAATTTTTATTATAATTTGAATACGATGTATCTAAAAAATTTCTTTTAAAATTTTGAATCAGTATATGATAAAATATATCACCATAGCCCATGACCTAGAAGGCTAGAACATAACAGATGCTAGAAATATGTTCCAATCGGTAAATTTATATAATCCAGAGATTTACTTTAATACTTTCTACCAAATATAATAAATGAGTGCAGTAGTAATAAATAGGTATTAAATAAAGAACGCGTTAAAGTAAAAGAACTAAATATTTAACGTAAAATATACCACATTGATTAAAATTTGAAGATTTAAAAAACAAATAACGCACTTTAAACATAAGTCAACATTCACATTTATGTGTAGTGGCGATTTATTATGAGTGGCCAGGACGTTTTTAAATATTTTTAAATAATTATTATATATTTCAAAAATAGTAAATATATAAGAAAGAGAAAAAATGGAGAAAAAAAGTGTTAGATTTTAACCTATATATAAAATTAGTGTATATTAAACCGAGTAAGCAACAGATATATAAATCATATATATATCAGGAGAATTAAAGTAGTAGATATAAGACTTACCATTTCCTCTCGATTAAAAGATACACGAAGCAAACAATGTCACATTGATTGAAATATTTATTACAATAAACAAGATCAGTGGGCATTAATCAATAATTTTAATGGAGTCAAATAATATATTATAATAAATAATAATTAAATATAAAAAATTAAAAAATATTAAAAAATAATAAATATATTTAATAATTATTAATTTTTAAAGTTAAAATCATAAATATATACGTAATATCTTTGATAATATATTAAATTAAAATTAAAATCAATTAATATTAGTCAAAATTACCTATATATATCATATTTAAATAATTTAATGAGAGAATAATATTTTATAAAAAAATTAATTATAAAAAAATATATAGACACACAAACGCTTATGCTTCCTATAATATATATAATTGTAAATTTCTTTAAATTTTTAAATATAAAAACAAATAATTAAATATTTAAAAAAGTTTAATATTATCTCACTATGTGCCACTATATTGTGTCCTCAATTTTGAGCAACTGCATAATCCAAGTCCTTCACAAAAACTTCTGAAAACTACTTCAGAAGACCTTTGATTATTCACGAAATAAAAATTCTTCGAAAGAACAAAATATAATAAATAAATAAATAAATAAAATAAGATAAGAAATATACAAAAAGTCATGACTAATCAACTTAAATTTATAAACATGAAAACTATAATTTCCTTGAATTTAGTTATTAGGGAAGATAAAATCTACATTATACTCGCAATTATAGAATATCAGTCACATGTTAATATGATTTATATAATTAATAGGTTATTATATATTAATTAAGTGATTAAACTATATCAAATATATGTCTAACAAATACAAGTAAAAACCCATTCAAGTTTTATATGAAAATAAAATAAAATATACATACATATTTATTATTTTATTAATATTTCATCTAAAAATACACAATTTATTTAAAATAAAATAACATTTTAATGCAATAAAAGAACACATCACAACTTAGAAGGATTTAAAGATTAGAAATAATTTCACAACCCAACGCTATTGCTTGCACATACCATCCACGAACCCCTTTCTTGAAAAGGATACTTTCAAAGACCTCTGTTGTTAAAGGTGGAAATTATTAGGTGACATTCTCACCGGCAATAAATCTGCAACTAATCACACCACCAAAGATCTGGCCGGCCATGAAGGTTGAGCGGTTGATTGCGAAAGAGAGAGGAAAGGGAGGGGTTTATGTAGGAACCATAGAGACGAGTAGCGGATTTTGACCATTTGGTGAGTCAAATAATATATTATTAATAAATAATAAATAAATATAAAAAGAAAAAAAGAACATGAAAGAGTGAAAAGATAAAATTGTAGATATATACTTAAATATATTAAATAATCATTAAGTTTGAGGAGGACAAAATCATAAATTATATGAAAGTTACAAAACTGAGGATGGGCTGAGAGGATAGAATTGTAAATATATAAGTAAATATATTAAATGTTCATTAAGTTTGGGGGGGGCAAAATCATAAATTACATGAGAGTTATAAAACTTTGGGGGGTCACGCCCTCCCTCAGCTCCCAAGAAGATCCGCCACTGCAGAGAGGCAGCATAAGGTAAAGGGTGCATGTGAAGGGATACTCTTGTGGGTGGAGTTGTGTAGATCACATTTTTAATCGTGTCATAGACACTAAGGATGGTGATAGTGACATGGTCCCTATGAGCAATCTCCAAGATGAACTCCATGATGTCCTTATTGTCGGGTCTTTGGAGATTTTGAGTTGAGAGTAATATCAATCCCTTATGTGAGTTAGATTTATGTCGTTGTCTATCTCCAATAAATTCTCCTCGAAAGATCCAACAGTGGTATCAGAGCCGATGGTTTGTATAATGATCGACAGTTTGAGAGTAGTCTTTGTATCAAAAGTCTTTCCTAATAGTAGGTTAGATAAATGTGTCTCGTTATGATAAACGACGGTACATGGAAGAGCTACTAATGAACTTCAGAGGATATATCAGTATGGAGGAATTCAAACTTGATGGAAAGATTATTAAGAAATACAAATGTGAATCTAAGTCCCACATTGTATAAGAATATAAGAAAGTTGAACAACATATAAGGAAGAAATACTCATAACTCAATGCCTTAAGATTTTAGTTTGAGAGTGCTATCAATACCTAGATTGGACTTATGTCTAGTTAATGTTGTTTCTCTTTCAGTGAATCTCCTCAAAAAGTCCAACACTTATACGAGGGAATGCGGTCAACAAAAACCTTCATGGAGTCAACAGGTTGGACCACTCCGCGATAGGTGGAGCTTGAGAATTACTTGCTAATGGGTTCATTAATGGTTGGAGGATCACTCTCAACAAAAAATACTATTACATTAGATCATTCAATTGACTAACCATCCACTTTCTTCTCCCATTATTTTGGTAAAGAAAAATGATGGGTTTGGTGATTTTACTCTCATTATCATGCTCTTGATGTTATAACGATCAAACATTATTTTCCAATTCCCATAGTGATGAGTTGATTAATTAATTTTTGGTGCATTTTTCTTGTTATAAGGAAAGAATGGATAAAAAGTAAAAGTTGTATTGAATGTTAGGTAAAATACATCTTATATACAAGATAGCTTTACAGAAGTACATAACAGATTGCAACCAACTAACAGATTGTAACCAACTAATTAACAGAAACTAAACTGAATTTATATTCAATATCCCCCCTCATGCTGCAGCATATATATCCTTAATGCTCAGCTTGGACAACAAAGATTGAAATTGTGATGGATGTAATACTTTAGTGTGAATGTCTGCAAGCTGTGCTGAAGTAGGAATGGGTAAGAGCTTAATAATACCAGCTTGAATTTTATCCCTTATGAGATGACAATCAATTTCAATATGTTTTGTCCTCTCATGCATGGATGAAAAGTAAAAGTTGTATTGAATGTTAGGTAAAATACATCTTATATACAAGATAGCTTTACAGAAGTACATAACAGATTGTAACCAACTAATTAACAGAAACTAAACTGAATTTATATTCAATATTTCTTTTCAAAACTGGACTTGTTCTTTGGTACCACCAAATTCTGCTTAGGCTTGAGTAGGATGACAATTCGGTGAGTCAGGCATAGACTGTGCTTACCTCTGTTAATAATAATAAATAAATAAAAAATCTGTTAGTTATCCGTTTTATTATTCATCAACTATCTATTTAGAAAATATTCATAGTATCACCCACAAATATTTTAAAAATTATTTTATAAAATATATATATTAATAAAAAATTATTATAAAATATAATTAAAATTAAAATAAATTATAAAATATTAATATTAATAAAATTATTCTTTATAAATTTAAATAATATTAATTTTTTAAAAATAAATTTAATCTTTTAAATTTAGATAAAAAAATATTACTTTTTTCTCATTCTTATTCTTATTCTCAAAGACCGTTATAAGATATAATAATGTTTTGACAACTGCATTTTTCGTATAATCAAATATATTATTATGATAATCTTATTTATTAATATATTATTATTTGTATATAGTTGTTTGAATGAGAATATGAGTTGTAGGAATATCAGTGTTCTTCAGAATAACCATCGCACCAGACATTGAGAGCCTAATGAATATAATTTTTCATGAAGTGAGCGCTTACACTTGTTTTCTTGGACGATATCCTTATCTGCAGTGTCTCATAAAAAGCCCATTTGCACGTAAGCCGAAGTGAATGGACATTTACACAAAGTCTTTCTTGCATATTATCTTTTTTCTCTCATTAATATGTTGCAACTATTTTGGTTTTCCAGGTGTCGATTGATCCAGGGGCGGAGGGTCATTGAGTGGGGTGGTAGCAGTGGCCACCCAAAACAATTTTTTTTTTTTTTTTTATAATGTACATATTATATCCTAAAAAATTATAATGTAGCTCCTATTCTTTTAATTCTTTGAATCATGTGATCTTTTATATTTTGCCCCCTCAAAAACTCTTTAGTTTCGCCTCTGCACATATATCATAATTCTCTCAAAAGCACAAAACATAATAAATAAATAAATAAATAAAAAGAAAAAAAAAGGAAATCATAATTAATCAACTTAAATTAATAAACATAAAAACTAAAAACTATAACTTCCTTGAGTTCATTTATTGGTGTTAGAGAAAATCTAGATTATACTCACAATCTTCTATAAAATATCATGTTAAAATACGATTTATATAATTAATAGTTTATTATATATTAATTAAGTAACAATATAAGTAAAAACACATTCAAGTTTTATATGTAAAAAAAAAATAGACATCCATATTTATTATTTTATTAATATTTCATCTGAAAAATACACAAAATTTATTTAAAGTAAAATAACATCTTATTGCAATAAAAAAAAAAAAAAGACATCACAACTCGCAAAAAACTAAAGATTATCAATAATTTTATGATCCTTTGTTGTTGCTTGCACATACCACCCACGAACCCCTTTCTTTAAAAGCATATTTTCAAAGACATCTATTGTTAAAGGTGGAGACTGTTAGGGTAACATTCTCACCGGCAATTACACTGCCACTGATCACACCACCAAAGATTTGCCCATGAGGGGTTGAGAGATTGATCGCGAAAGACAAAGGGAAGGGAGGGGTGGCTCCGGGATGAAGGGTGTGGAGGATGTTATATATGTAGGAACCAGAGAGGGAGAGTAAGGTGAAGGGCCCGCGTGTAGGAATACTGCTATGGGTGGAGTTGCGTAGGGTCACATTTCTAATCGTGCCAGAGGCACTAAGAATGGCGATACTAACATGGTCCCTATGAGCAATCTCCAAGATGGACTCCATGATGTCCCTATTTGGAGGAACACTGACAACGAAGACCTTCATGGAGGAGTCGACAAGTTGGGCCACTGGGCGATAGGTGGAGCTTGGAGGCCTAGCAGGAGGATTACTTGCAAATGGGTTCATCAGTGGTTGATTGGTGATGGTAGGAGATGGTCGGTGGTGGTAAATATTGTTGTGACAGTGTGAAGCTTAGTTTGTGAGAGGATTTATATATAGTGTGGTGGTAAATTCTTTAGAGAGTTGAGTATAACCAAATCAAGGGGCTTTTGACAATGGTTTTATGTAATGGTGGTGTGTGGTATTTCAAAACTGGATGACTTTCATTTTATTGAAAATCAAAATAATATAATTTGAAGTTGGATAAGTGAAATATTTAAAATCATTTATTGAAATTTATTAATTAAATAATCTTGATAAAGTTAGTCATTATCTTATTATTTGTTTTTAATGTAAAAAAAAACATTAATTATTAATATAAAGTTATTAAATCAAGTGAATTATTATCAATAAATTATAATTCAGTTTAATTCAAACAAACTAAAATAATAATTCAGTTCATTTATTAAATAATTTAGTTTATATATATATATATATATATATATATATATATATATATATATATATATATATATATATATATTCACATTACTACGTTTAAACACCAATTTAGTTCAAAATTAACCCTAATAATTATTTTTGCTTGTTTTAGTCAAGTTTTGTTATAGTAAATGTAAAATATATTTCATTTTGTTTCCTTCCGATAATAACTGAACTTCACTTTGATTAATGGATAGGACAAATTTTAATCTACTGTTATAGATATTGTTTATATAGTTTTTCAATTAGAATTAGGTTTTTACATTAATAATATATATTATCAATGTTTCATCTAATCAAAGGTAAAATTTCAATTTGTATTAGAAAATAATACCACTATATTTATTTTTTTATTTCTTTTCCAAAACGAATATGTATTTAAAACATTTTACTTTTTACTTTTTATTTTTTTCTCTTGAACGAGGAGACATTTCTTTATATATATAGACTTTGGAGGTTTTCAAGGTTCTCCAACCCTCTCTCACTACTTTTCTCTCTTTCTTTTTCCACCTTCTCTCTACGTCTCCTTTCCCTTTTATATGTAAATTTGTTTGATAACAACAATGAAGTATTCCATTTTTTTTATGTATATTTATTTTTATGTCCATGTTCATATAAACTTAGGAGGGTATGTCTAAATGTCTAATCGGTTATGTGATATTCAATATCTTATAATCTTATCTTTAAACTTTATAGTTATAACAAACTTTCACTAGTAGAGAATAAACTTTTAACATCGGTTCTAGAATCGATGTAGAAAGTGTGACTTTCCACATCGGTTGTAAGGAACCGATGTAGAAAGTCTAATATTTTTATTTATTTATATATTTTTATTTATTCATAACCCCTCTCCAATTACCCTATCTATTGATAGGTAGGTCTCTTCTCCCTTTTATATTATATTTTTATTATTTATTATATTTTTTATATTTTTTAAGATCAGATTAAGAGAATTGTCATTGCAAGATTCGAACCCAGTACCTTAGAGTCGAAGGTCGATACTCCAACCACTAAGCTACTAGGATTTTCCGATAATAACTTATACATAAATTATATTTATATACAAATAAAAATGTATATCTATGTAAATATATAAATATAAAATATATAAATACAGATACAAATATATTTATATATTTATATGTTGGATGTGAGGCGCGCTCGAGGATGAAAGTGTGTGTCGAGTGAATTTTCAAAATTTAATGTCAAATTTGTGAGCGAGTCTCTTTATATGGATTATAACTTAATCACAAAATATAATTTTTATAATTTATTTATATAATGATATAAAATAATTTTTTTCTTTATTTTATATCATTATATAAATTAATTATAAAAATTATATTCTATATTATTATAAATAAATTATAAAGATTTTATTCTATTATTAAATTACAAATTCATATAAAGAGACTCGCTCACAAATTTAACATCAAATTTTGAAAACCCACTTGTCACACACTTTCACTCTCGAGCGCGCTCTCACATCCAACATATAAATATATAAATATATTTGTATTTGTATTTATATATTTTATATTTATATATTTACAAGGATATACATTTTTATTTGTATATAAATATAATTTATGTATAAGTTATTATTAGAAAATTCTAGTAGCTTAGTGGTTGGAGTATCGACCTTCAACTCTAAGATGCTGGGTTCAAATCTTGTCAATGATAATTCTCTTAATTTTATAAAAGATTTTCTACATCGGTTCTTTAAGAACCGATGTTAAAAGTGATTTTTGTACTAGTGTTTATCTTAAACCGTATTCATTGTAGCTAGTGGTTTTAACTTCTTTTTAAAACTAAATAGTTACTTTATCCTATTTCAGCTAAAAAGATAAAAAAATAAACGGACAAGTCAAAGATAAAAGTATTGTGACAAAATTATACTATTATTTAAAATTATAACACAATAAAAATAAAATATTTCTCATTGGTTATTAATGAAATGAAATAATATTTTTATTTACTTATTTAATAAGAATGTCATTTATTAAAAAGAATTAACTCAATAAAATCAATTTATAAAAGTTATATCTTAAAAAAAATAAAACTTTATAAATGTAAATCTGAATATTAAAAGGTTCGTAACAATTTGATAATAAGTAATAGAATAATATATTAATAAATTTATTAAAATGAATATAATATTATACTAAAAAAAAATGTTTGATTAAATTTTATTGTTTATAAAATAAAATTTACATTTACATTTTAATTTTAATTATATATTATAATTTGAATAGGATGTATCTAACCATTTTTTTTTTAATTTTGAATCAGTATATGATAAAATATATCATTATAGCCCATGACCTATAACTAGATGCTATAGATGTATTCCAACCAGCAAATTTATTTGGTCCAGAGATTTATTTGAATACTGTTACTAAATATAGTAAATGAGTCCAGTAGTAATAGATAGGTATTAAATAAAGAACGCGTTAAAGTAAAAGAACTAAATATTTAACTTAATACATAACACACTGACAAAATTTTGAAGATTTAGAAAACAAACAATGTACTTAAATTTAAACATAAGTCAACATTCACAGATTTGTGTAGTGGCGGTTTATTGTGAGTGGCATGACTTTTAAATATTTTTAAATTACTTGTGTATGTATAATTTTTGTTCCTTTAATTTTTTTTTTAATATTTAAATTTATTAATTTTGTATTAATTTAAATAAAATAATATCAAGAATTATACAAAGATATTCCTCTTGTAATAAAAGTTTATAAAATTTAAAATAAATAATTATTATGATTTATATATTTAAACAATAGTAAAAAAAGTAATGGTGAAAAAATATAATTAAATTTTAACGTAAAACAATTTGAAGTGAATTAAGGTAATCCACGCTGAGATTTTTGATAACTTTGAGTAAATATTATTGGGACCGATAAATAATGTGACATTGATTAAAATGTCTATTATAACATGTGACATTGATTAAGATGTCTATTATAATTAACAAGATTAAGATACTGTTCCAAAGTGTTTTCAGAGGTTAAAAGTTACGGCTCGTAAAGTTTTATAACTTGTATATTTATAATTTTAACTTTCAAATTTAATAATTATTTAAATATAGAAATAACAAAATGAGTTATTTATTCCTTCCCAAATGATAGACTGATAGACAACTGGATCAACTTGTAAATAATTTTTTTAATATGTATTTGTTTAAAAATATATCTTTAGTTATGTGAATAATTTTTTATTTTTTATTTATTAATTAATATTTTTATTAGATAAATTAAAAAAAAAACTATTATATTTATGTGTTAAAACAACTAATTATATTCAATAATTTTAAATTTAATTGGTTAATATTTATAATTTAAATTATAACATTACAATATATTTATAAATTTAAATAATATGACACAAAAAATATAATATTTTTATTTTTATTTTAATATATAAATATTTATTTAGAATTGTCTGTCCCATCTTTAGCTTTGTCCAATTGGAGAGCTAGATGGGACAGGCCAAAATGGATTGACTGGATTAAAACTATCAACTCATTTTTGAGGTGGGTTGACATTACTTATATGTATTTGTTATTATTTATTATTATATAAATTATATCTTAATTTAATTGTTAAATTATATTTTTTAACACAATGTATCAATTTATATTATTAACTTAAAATATATATATTGAATATTAATAGATAAATAATAATTTTATTATTAAACTTATTAAAAAAATTAATTAAAAAAAGTTATGGTCAACTTGTTGAAAAATACAAGGATATGAAGCTTGTACATTTTGATGATGATTCAAGAATAAAGGACTTAAAGATTTGAAGACTTATAATTTTATGTAATAACTATGTTTTTATGATTTTGAGTCTGTAATATTAGAGTCCAAGATAGACAACACATAGTCCACTCTTTAAAGGATCTAAAAACTCATTTTTATCAAAAACATACTGGAATAATCGATTAAATGGCAAGATAATCGATTATTACAGAGAGAAAACCATTTTCAGCATCTGCTCTCTGGAATAATCGATTAAACCCTCTGTTAATCGACTAACTAGGCTGTTAATCGATTAAATGCCCAGTTAATTGATTAAACTGAGCTGTTTTGGGTTTCCTGCGAATTTGGCTCTGAAATAATTGATTAACACTCAAGATAATCGATTATTTTAGTCAGATATGTGTTTTGAATTTCAAAATTGGAGCAAGTTTCGAAAACCATATTCCCAATTTCAAACCCTAATCTTTCTACTTAAGGTTCTCTAAGGCTCTCTGAAAAAAGAACAATCTTTTTCAAACAAAAGTTAAGAGATGTGACTGCCAGAGAACTGTTTGTTGGAGGAAAAAGGGGATTTTGAAACCTAGTGTGGGCTAGAAGCGATAAGAATCACTGAGTGAGTTTTCTTGGTGGATTGTGTGTTGTGCCGTCTCTAGGGAAAGCTGTTCTTCATCCTTTGTGGATTCAAAGGAGGTGTTCATCTCTTGTGTGACTCAAGAGAGGTTATTCCTTACCTTATCTTTTCATTTGT